CGTTCACATGGGAGATCTTCAACTGCAGTTTTATCAGCTCAAATAATAATCTGCACATATCTGAATGAAGGGGCGTGGAAGCAACACTCACTTCAAAATTTTTTGAGAGCTCCAGGTTCCTTTCTAGCATTTGAGTACCTAAGTTCTCCCAGGTAAACAAAAAATTTTTGACCAGCAACTAAATGATTTCTGAAAATTCTGAAACCTTTTCGATTAGTTTCAACTAAAAATGACTTACGTGCAAAATTTTGTAGCTCATTTAGATCACTTCAAAAAATATACAGGTCTCATTTCGCTTTTTTTCAATTTTCTTTTCATTTCGCTCACTTTCCACATTCAGATGTAGGGCATTACAGCTCATTTTTTATTTTTAGTAGATGTATTTCATCAGTGATAAATCAATGCTAGAACACTACTGTCCTTGGGACACTTATCACATTGAAGTACCCGAAAGACTATCCACTATTCTGGATGTCGTTCAGGTGAGTGCAGATTTTTTGGAGCATTCGATTCTACTTCTTATTTTGTTTGGCCTCATAAATCTCTTTTTACAGGAGCCTGAGTTGTCAAAAAACATCGAGTTTCTGCAGCTGCGTTCTGCTACCGAGGAAGAAATAGAGATGGTCCATACGAAAGAATATATTTCTGATATCAAGAAAACTAAAGAGATGTCTACGGTACAGATTTCCACCCAAACTCTTATTATGAATAGGTTTTTGATAAATTTTAGTATGAACAAGAAGAATTTTGCTCGAATTATGAAGATATCTACGTAAATAAGCATACCTTCGAGGCTGCTTTATTAGCAGCTGGGTGTACATTCCAATTAATGGATGCAGTCTGTCGAACTGGGTGAGTTTTTTGTTTCTACAAATCTCAGAAAAAACCTAAAATTTCAGTACTCCAGGGTTTGCAGCTGTGCGACCACCCGGTCACCATGCTTTTCCAGATCGAGGTTGTGGTTTTTGTATTTTTAACAATGTTGTGCTTGCTGCTAAATATGTAAGTTGAAATTTTT